ACTTTCTAGTTGAAATTTGTTTACATATTTATTGATCGTGAGTAAGGTTTAAAGTTGAAATTCGGGATATCAGGTGCGCAAAAGACATTTGTTTACATATGAGAGAATATGTATAATTCCGTGTTAAATTGCAGAAGATGAAGGTGGGTATATATAGTGGAATGTGGGAGAAAAAATATTTGCAACTTGTCTTTTAGAAGCCATTATTAGATGGATCCGTGTCTTAATTCTTTTTTTTCCAATTTGATAATTAAAATTTTTTTTGTGTATGAAGGACAAAATTGAACATGAATTCTATGGCTTCTTGAGTATGTGAATGTTTCTTCCTTTTGCTAGTTCTGTGACAAAATTTGATGTTTCTTGAGTTCTGTGACAAAATTAATTCGTTTATTCATTTTGCTAGTTGAAAAGGGACATTATTATTTTTTTTGGACATTATATTTATTTTAGTGGACTTGTATTGTATCTTTATCGTAAAGTATTATTCTAAAACGTCAAAAGGGCCAATAAAAAACTATGATTTAGTTTTTTTTTTATTTTACTTTTATTTTGTTGGTATTTAAATTTATAGTAAATATATTTAGTTTGTTTTAGATTTATTTCTAGTAAGATATAAATATATATTGAATTAATGACATAAAAGTAGATACTAGACAGGAAAAAAATATACGCGAAACCGGCGGTTTAAAACCGGACCAAACCGTTAGGTTTAGGTTTGAGTTTTTTTCAAACCGGTCAAAACGGTTTGGTTTAGGTTTGAGCTTTTCTCAAATCGGTCAAAACGGTTTGGTTTGAAAATTTGTCAAAACCCGCAAAAACAGGACCGCTTACACCCTTACTATTTTCACTTCTTGGGAAAGAGAATCTCTGCTGTTTGGCTATAGGACATACTGTACAATGCAAGTACTTATTGAAATTGATAGCAAGAACTAAATTATACAAGACGGATAGCTTTGAGATAGGAAGGTGTCCCATACGACAATGCCATAGATCAATGTCAGAATTTTCATTGATATCACTTATGGAATTACAAGAAAATTATCTAGACTTATTACACTTTGATATAAGATTAGAATTGCAAATGGAACTAGGAAAAATAGGAAAGCTATTTTTAGAGATATCGGTATGTTGAGTTTCAGATTTTTCATAACTGAATGAAGGTTTGTCTTGAATTTTCTGAGATGTAATTTGAAAAGCATACAGTTCATCTTCAAGTTTGCCCATTCCAATCGTCTTCCACATCAAAAGATCCTGGACAAAGCAATATTGATGCAAAAATGAATTGTGGCTGTCTGGCTAAAAGAATAAGAGAACTCACTAATTCTTATTTAGTAAGAATAAATATGAAACGTGTACTGATAATATACTTCTAAAAATATTTGCCTTGATGTAATTCCCAATGAACTTTGTTATATTTGCTGTCAGAAATCTTTTTCACGATATGGAAATGAGAAAAAAAAGGAAATTAGTTCAGGTATATTTTGAAGAAGTTAAACGGGTGTATCTAGGATATGGCTGTAATCCAACACTGAAAGAGAAACTATAAAGTCCCAAAAAAAAAAAAAGAGTAGAATTATTTATTCTATGTGCTGTATATTTTATATTTTGGAAAAGTTGGGGGACTAAAATGATACATTTATTAAATTCAATTTTATTTGGTTGAAATATTTAAATATTGATGAATGATAAATATATTAATATTGGGCTCGTTGGATAGCCCGTAATTAATTATGTATATCAGGCTCGAGAAAAAGTCGGTTCGGATAAGTTAGCTCCAAGATATTTTAGTTCGAAGAAGTTGATGAAAAACTAGTTTTGCAATTTAATTGAAAAGTTCAATGAAAACGTGCTTTGCCTCATGTAATGTGTATGGAATGTTTTATTTTGATTTTGAATTGTATGTGTTAGTAGACACGTGTAGGTTAAATGGTAGAAAAGATAGTTTTTGCTTTAAAATGATTTATTTGCCTTGATTTTTGGGATATGATAGAGATGACATGTTGATTAGATAGGGAAGAAGTAATTGTTGATTGTATAGAATATTGTGGTTGAGACTTTTATTTAGGTAAAAACACGGAAATTGACAATGTTTACGCCTATAAGAATTCATTTTTCCCTTTCAACTCTAAATACCATACTAAAGTTCTTACTATATGAAAATACGCAGTTCGACCCAAACTACATCTAGATGGGATTAATTGGTGTAAATGCGAAATTAATAATTAATAATTAATAGCAACAAGTCACTAATAAAATAATAAATACCGCACAGTATGATCACGAAGAAACCCCAACTGGGTAAAAACTTCTGGCACTTTGCCAGTCAACAATCCACTATAAACGATTTATAACTTACAGTCTACCAGACTGGACGACGACACATACTATCTAATCTCCGGACTGCTATTTCAACAGCTCTTCCACATTCTGTGTTGTTGCACCACTCCCAACTGCAATTTATGAAGCTCTCCTTGATTGTGCCCTCCTGCAGCAACTCCTAGTTTTGTGAAATTGTTTATCTCCTGTGGATCCACGAAGAATGCTGCGTTCATCAACGACTGGAACTCCAGTCACCTTCCCTTGATCTTCAGAAACTTTGACAGATATGTACGAAACAGCAGTTTGATATTTAGATTGTGAAACTAATTTTTTCACCGCCAAGCACTCATCAATTTGAACAATGAATGTTGAATGCTTAAGAGGATGAAAAGAATATGAAAGCAGTGGTTTTTCTTAATGTTCAACCTTAGAAAATACGTTCAGTGGCGTTCAAGTATTTATATGTAGGTTAGGGAATGAATGGGCCCGACAAAAATCCTTTAAAAAACGAAATAAAAATTTCCTTAATAACAGTGTCGCTCGAGCGACGGTGAGGCGACAATATAGCGATGGAGTTTCTGTTTCTGACGCTTGAGCAAACCTTGGCGAGAAGCTAGCGAAAATCCGCGTTGTTTTTCCTTCTTTCCCATTCTCGAACCATAGACCTAAAATATCACAATTTATACTACTTGCACACTACTCCTTGACTTTTTACAATATATCAATTATAGTCCTTTTGGTTCACAGAATACCCAATTACATAAAATACCAAACACTATTTACTCCAGCTGCATAAATGAATTGTGGCTGTCTGGCTAAAAGAATAAGAGAACTCACTAATTCTTATTTAGTAAGAATAAATATGAAACGCGTACTGATAATACACTTCTAAAAATATTTGCCTTGATGTAATTCCCAATGAACTTTGTTATATTTGCTGTCAAAAATATTTTTCACCATATGCAAATGAGAAAAAAAAAAGAAATTAGTTAAGGTATATTTTGAAGAAGTTAAACGGGTGTATCTAGGATATGGCTGTAATCCAACACTGAAAGAGAAACTATAAAGTCCAAAAAAAAAAAAAAAGAGTAGAATTATTTATTCTATGTGCTGTATATTTTATATTTTGGAAAATTTGGGGGACTAAAATGATACATTTATTAAATTCAATTTTATTTGGTTGAAATATTTAAATATTGATGAATGATAAATATATTAATATTGGGCTCGTTGGATAGCCCGTAATTAATTATGTATATCAGGCTCGAGAAAAAGTCGGTTCGGATAAGTTAGCTCCAAGATATTTTAGTTCGAAGAAGTTGATGAAAAACTAGTTTTGCAATTTAATTGAAAAGTTCAATGAAAACGTGCTTTGCCACATGTAATGTATATGGAGTGTTTTATTTTGATTTTGAATTGTATGGGTTAGTCGACACGTGTAGGTTAAATGGTAGATAAGGTAGTTTTTGCTTTAAAATGATTTATTTGCTTTGATTTTTGAGATATGATAGAGATGGCATGTTGATTAGATGGGGAAGAAGTAATTGTTGATTGTATAGAATATTGTGGTCGAGACTTTTATTTAGGTAAAAACACGGAAATTGACAATGTTTGCGCCTACAAGAATTCATTTTTCCCTGTCAACTCTAAATACCATACTAAAGTTCTTACTATTTGAAAATACGCAGTTCGACCCAAACTATATCTAGATGGGGGTAATTGGTGTAAATGCGATATTAATAATTAATAGCAACAAGTCACTAATTAATTATCTCTAGATGATTAAGCATACAATCCGATTATCCTATGTTTGAATACCGCAGAATATAATGCAGTAAATAAAACAATAAATACAATCCGGTACCAAAGATATGATATATTTGAGCTCTTACCGATTTTTAAAGATATGATGACGGTATGATATTTTTGACGCTTGATTTAATATTTTTATTCGGGATTGCATCATTAATTCGTGTCCTATTGAGTATATATTCTCATATACTCACCAATTTCCCCCCTACCTCACAGGTTAGAATGGGTCGTTGGTTGGCAAGCGACGAGATGCAGTCGTGGTGCCAGGATTTATGGAACTCAATAATAAAATAATCCAGTGTAAGAAGGCATTTTTTTTTAAATTTCAGCAATTTCTTAATTTTATTTCGCAAGGATTTTTATTTAGAAATTTAAGACGGGTTTTATTGGGTTATAAATTTAAAACTGTGTTATGCTTTATTAGTGGAACTAAAATTTTATTATTTATCTAATAAATGCGATATGCATGGTTTTTAATATTTATTTGGTTATGATTTTTTATCAATTAAATTGTGCCCGTTAATTTCATATATTTACACTGTTAAAGTTAATAATTTTGGTAGCGATTTAAAAATTAAATTTTGGGTAAATCACAAGCATTCTAGCAGTTCTATATTGTATTTTTCATTTATTAACAGGTAAAAAAAAATAGTTCAACATTTTTTGGCCATTTTATACTAATGGATTTGTAAATTTTCAATATTTCAGAGGAAGTAATGGAAACGTGGTCTAAATTGTCTTGGCCTACGTACTCCTGGCATCCTATGACTATAAATACCCGTCAAACGAACTTATAAATTCAAACAAGACCATTGAAGCGAGAAGCATTCTTCGATTTACTGTCCAAATTTCAAGAGTGAAATACAGAAATGGATATCCGAATCCATGCATCTGCTGCTCCATTTTCCACCAAAAATATGAGCATTCAGGATACTCGCCGCTCTGTCACGTATCATCCTAACATTTGGGGAGATTATTTCCTTGCGTATAGTTCTAATGTAAATTAGCTAGATCTTTTGTTCCTTGCTAATTAACTGAAATATAATTGTGTTAAAATGTTAAATGCGTTCTTCCACTTACTTGATCAGGATATATTGGCCCACGAAGAGCAAGAACGTCAAAGATTAAAAGAAGAAGTGAAAAAGTTGCTAGTGGCTGCCCCAGATGGTTCATTGTATAAACTAGACCTCATCGATGCAATCCAACGTCTTGGAGTTGGTTACCATTTTGAAAAAGAAATTGAAAACTCTTTAAAATACATCTATGAAACTTATCATGAAAGTCACAATAAACAAAACAATGATCTTCGTACCGTTGCTCTACGATTTCGATTACTCAGACAACAAGGATATTATGTCTCATGCGGTAAGTAATTTTTGTTTTCATGATTTGTTAAATGTTGGAAAATAAATTGTCAATCTTATATATACACATGCAATAAATTATGTTCTCTTATGCTTCAAAGCAAGTGGAATATACTTTTTAGATAGTTATGATTTTTAATGCTACTTTATTGCTAACGAAATTAACTTTTCTTTAACATGACCAAACATGAATATGTTACTTGAAAAGTTTATGTTTTCTATTGTGAACATGCACCTTACACATTTAAGGTTACATTTCATATTTTTTCGGGCTGAGGCAGACGTGTTCAACAAATTCAAGAACAGCCAAGGAAATTTTGAGAATTCTTTGATTAGCGATGTAACAGGGCTGTTAAGCTTGTACGAGGCTGCACAATTTGGAGTACACGGGGAGGAAATTCTAGAAGAAGCATTGAGGTTTTCTGCTACTCACCTCGGGTCCTCGATCCACCAGGCGAGCAATTCTCTCTACAGCCAAGTTAGCGATGCCTTGGATATGCCAATTCATAAAACTTTGACAAGGCTCGGAGTAAAGAAATTCTTATCCATTTACCAAAAATCAGGTGAAGAAATGCTCCTGAATTTTGCCAGATTAGACTTCAACATAGTGCAGAAGATCCACCAGAAGGAGCTAAGTGACATTACAAGGTTAGTTTGTTTTGTGAAGCTTTACTACTTGCACTTATATATCTGAAAAATTGTTAAAATTTTACTTTCGGATGTAAATTGAAGGTGGTGGAAGGCTTTAGAGTTTGGGAAAAAATTGCCTTTTGCAAGAGATAGGCCAGTGGAATGCTACTTTTGGGCACTATCTGTCTACTTTGAGCCGCAATACTCTCTTGCGAGGAAAATTCTAACTAAAGTAATCGCCCTGACTTCTACTATTGATGACATCTATGATGTTTATGGGACCCGAGACGAGCTTAAACTTTTCACAGATGCAATTGAAAGGTGAGTTTTGAGTTATTCTTTGTATCTTAATATCTAATACCATATTTATTTATAGTGAAATGTATAATTCAAATAGATTCCGATTTCATATTGAATATTTTCATGAGCAGGTGGGATATTAGTGCCATGGATCAGTTACCATCGTACATGAAATATTGTTATGAATCTCTTTTAGATGTTTATCTCGAAGCTGAGAGAGAGTTAGGAGAGATAGGAAAATCGTATCGTGTTCAGTACGCGATTGATGAGGTAATCAATATTAATGAAGTTGCTTGACTTTAAGCAAAATTACGTCCAATGATATCTAATCGCATTTTCAAATTACAGATGAAAAAACTAGTCCGTGCATATTTCGAAGAGGCAAAATGGACATACAATGGATATGCTCCAACACTAGAAGAGTATATGAAAGTCGCACTAGTATCTGGTGCTTACATGATGCTATCTACAACATCTTTGGTAGGCATGGGAGAACTGGTAACTAAGGAAGCCTTTGATTGGATTTCAAGTGAACCATTATCAGTTCGTGCTTCATCAATAATTTGTAGACTAATGGACGATATGGTCGGACATGGGGTAAGAAGTTTGAATTCTTATAAATTGATTTTATTTGAATTACACAAGTTCATCACACGGGTTTTTTGTTCTTATGGCCGTCAACACATGAGAAAAACGTAATAGCCTACTTAGCATTAGATTAACAAGTTTTGTGTTGTGTTACTTTTATGCAGTTTGAGCAAAAAATAACGGCAGTTGAATGTTATATAAAAGAGAAAGGGGCTTCAAAAGAAGAAGCATTTGCTGTATTTCAAACACAAGTCATGAATGCGTGGAAGGATATAAACCAAGAATGCCTTCACTCAACTGCAGTACCAATGGCTGTTCTCGTACGAATAGTCAATCTTGCACGTTTCATAAATCTTCTATATAAAGACAGTGATGCATACACAAATTCTAAAACAAAGTCAAAAGATTTCATAACATCAATACTCATACAACCAGTGATAATATCCAAATGAACGTAGTAACAGTATGGATGACTTCCATTTTAATGTATCACCATATTATCATCCATATTTAGTGCCGTGTTGTCAAATTCTACAACATAATTAGGTCTTGGTTAAGGTTATCCCAATGTTGAATTTCCTCGTATGTAAATGTGTCAATAATTGAACGTTAAAAAAGTTGTATTTGTTTTGTCCAATGTTCTAAATAATGATATTAATGTGTGGTCTGAAATTTGAGATATTAGTTTTGTCTTTATGGATAATTGGAGAGAAAGTATAGCCATCGATTTAAAAATGCCATATCCTCCACCTAGTCACAACAGCATTTGAAGGACTAAGAAATAACAAATTATTGAAGATGAGGACTAAGGTATAAATACTTGAAAGATGAAGGCTGGATCAATAGGGAAATTTACGGACTAACTTGAATCGGAAGCAAAAAGGATGTACCTTGCAATCGCAAGACTCTACATGTGCGTTCACAAATTTCACCAACAAGTTCAAGAATGTTACCATACGATCGCAACCAACATTACCCTGCATCGTGTTGGTTGCGATCGCATGGCTTTACAAGGTAGAAAATATTTTGTTTCTTAATTTAAGTCAAGTTCACTTAATTCTAGAGGCTACAAATAGGATTATTCATCTAGAAAAAGGGGAAGAGAGTTTTGTGGGGAGACAAAAACATACATTCAATACACTAACCATCAAGAGCTTTGTTCCAAGCAAGAGAGAATTGGGATTTCTTGAGCACTCTATTAAAGACATTGAAATAGACAAAAATTAATGCTCAATTTCCTTCTTACAATTATATATTTTCGGCTTATGAATTCTCAATTCATTATGTATTTTTGCAATTCAAACGTGATAGGCTAAATCATTAGTAATTCTCAATTTGTTTTGTCCAATTTTCTAATTAATGATATTAATGTGTGGTCCAAAATTTGAGACTTAAAAAGGTAAGATTGATGCTGTTTGTATATTAAAAGAAAAATGTTATTCATCCCCACTGGGAATGCATCCCCAGTCTATGTGGATGTAAATGATTGGATAAATGATAGGTGAAATTAAATGACTTATTTAATTTCACCTATCATGTAATGCCACATTAACGCCACATAGACTGGGGATGCATCCTCAGTGGGGATGAATAGCATTTCTCATATTAAAAATACTGTTCATTTTCTGTTCAAATTCTAAGATTAAAAGTATGTATTCATTTTCTGTCCATATTCTAAGACAAAAGTAATTCAAAGAATGTGGAAGGAATATTTAAATTCCTCCATTAATTGACCGCTCCCATAATTTCCAACAAATGTGGCATTGAGAATACGCGGTGTCCTTTCATGTTTCATTCACCCTTTGAGGATATTTCCTTGCATATAGTTCAGACCTCACAATAAAATTAATTACTCCCCCTACCTTCAAATAATGCATTGCTCTAGATCTATTTGGGCATTTAATTTGTTAAAATTTGGGTGTGACCTAAATTCTATTGGGAATTTAATTGGAAGTTCTATTGGGAATTGATAGTATAATTTGAAGAAATCTTGAAGGAGTCTAAGACGAATAAGGAGAAGTTTTCGTGATTTTGGCAATTTTTTATCTTCTATTCCAATTCCAATTCAAATACTCAATTATTTGTTAAATATATTATATTAGGATTTCGCCTTATATTAAACTCTTCTTCATTGTATTATATTCTCCTAGTGCGTTATGAATTATTGATTATAAATATGTGAATTACAACAAATATTAAAATTGACCAATTGTCCAACTTATTAGTTTTGTCCAGAGAGGTCATTTGTAATAATTCATTTGATGAGTGTATTTCACTCATACTTTAGACATTATCTAAACTTGATATTTAAGTAATTTCTATGAGTTTTAGAGCGTTTTAATGTGTGTTTTGATGTTGTGATATAAGTTGATTAAATTGAAGGAAATAAGTAAAAGTTGGCAAAATTGGAGAAGGTGGCTAAATTGTAAGAGATCCAAAGTTCGGGGACTAAAGTGCAAATACTCAAAAGTTTTGTCAAACCTCACAATGAAGATTCGAGAGTGTTAGGAGTCAATTGGATGAAGAAAGAAGTCAAAGGGATGAAATATAGGCAAAGTATGATCACACATCAATTTTCAACTGAAAAAGTTATGCTCCAGATTTTCAGTCTCATATTGAGACTCATTGTTGACATAGTAAATGTTCGAATTGGAAAATGATATCTGAGTAAAAGTTGTAGCCCGTTGAGTTATTTTTCCAACGCGTCTTTAATAGTCTCAATTGGACATCGGGAGTAAAAGTTATGATAAAAATAATTAAAGACATGCAGTGCTGAATTTCCATCTATCGACTTTTCAACTCCCATTCATATTTGGCACAAGATTGTATTAATTGCAACCACTTTTTCCCAATTTTGTACGTTTGAACACTTGTTTTGTGTGATATTATGCTATTCATTATCATTGTAAGAATAATGTGATACATCTGAATCGTTTGAAAAAAAATGGACATATATTTTTTTCCCTTTTACGAGCACGAAAATTGATGAGTGTCTACACTCTTGATATTTATGCCACTTAATTCATTATTTTGTTATCCTTGAGAGATTTTAGGAAATTTTAATGTGTGTTTTGATGTTGTGATATAGGTTGATGAAATTGAAGGAAATAAACAAAAGTTGGCAAACTGAAAAAACATGCTAAATTGTAAGAAATCCAAAATTTGAGAACTAAAGTGCAAATAATCAAAAGTTGTGTCGAACCTCACAATGAAGATTCAAGAGTACTAGGAGTCAATTGGATAAAGAAAGAAGTCAAAGGGATGAAATATAGGGAAAATATGATCACGCATGAATTTTCAACCGAAAAAAGTTAAGTTTCGAATTTTCAGTCTCATATTGAAACTCATTTTTGATATAGAAAACATTTTAATTGAAAAATGATATTTGAAGCAAAGTTGTATCTCTTAAAGTTATCTTTCCAAATCATTTTAAATCGCTTCAATCGGATATCGAGAGAAATGTTATGATAAATATACTGAATGACGTGTGGTACTGAATTTTCATTCGAAACCGGGCGCTAGGCGACGTAATAGTGGCGCTGCAGCGTCACCGTTTTTGAAAATCAGCAGCATCATGGGCATTGAGGTGCCGTTGGGTGAGAAAAAAGGTTTTTGAATTTTTTTGGGCTCTTTACTTAGCCCAACATGACTCCAACCATTCCAAAACTTCAAAATACTATAAGTACAATCTTTAAGACCTAATTCTGGAGAGGAGAACGGTTCAAGAGGTAAGAGAAAATTCAACACAATTCTTCAAGAAGGCAAGAAGGAAAAACATCAAGAGATTCAAGAACAAGACAAAAAAGAACAAGAGAAGATTTTGAAGATCTACATCCTAGTTTTTATATTCTTTTCCTTGTCTTTTTATATGAATTTTAGTATTTTTATAGAATACATCATGAGCTAAATTCATTATCTAGGGTTTTCTTATTAAAATCAAAAGATGAAACTTTTTTTTTGTTTTGTAGGATTGGAAAACACAAATTGAAAACCAAACTAATCATGAGGTAAAAATTCTAAGAACTGACAATGGTTTGGAATTTTGCAACTATGAATTCAATAATTTCTGTAAAGAGCATGGTATATTAAGACATAGAACTGTTGCTTATACACCTCAACAAAATGGCATAGCAAAAAAAAAAAAAAATGAATAGAACTTTATTAAACAAGATAAGATGCGTGCTTTTAAGTTCTGGTTTACCTAAATTATTTTGGGGTGAAACCATAAAAACTGCAGCTTATCTTGTAAATAGAACCCCTACTAGTGCTTTGAATTTTGAAGTTCCTGAATTTACCTCTTTCAAACCATTTTAAACTTTCATCTGAGTTCTATCTTACAATTGATGAAGAATTTGCTAAAAGGTCTAAAATTTCATATGCAAATGTGATTGGATCTGTTATGGATCTAATGGTATGTGCAAGACTTGACCTTGCTCATAGTATTAACATACTTAGTAGATTCACGAGTAACTCTGGGGAAAAACATTAAAATGCTATAAAATTGCTTTTAAGATACTAGAAAGAAACCTTAGATTTTGGTCTTGTGTTTAAAATGAATAAAGGTGGGATAACTTTGAAGGGTTTTACCAATTTTGACTTTGCTGGAGATAGAGACAATAGGAAGTCTACCTCAGCTTATTTTTTTACTCTATGTGATACTGCAATAAGTTGGAAATCTCAATTACAAAAGATTGTGGCTTTGTCTTCAACTGAAGCAGAATACATTGCCTCTCTTGATGCTATTAAAGAAGGTATTTGCTTAAGTAGATTGCCCAGTGAACTTTGTTTTGTTGATGAAAATGCAATTATGTACTCAAATAACCAGAGTGCTATACATTCGAGTGAAAACCCCATGTTTCATGATAGGACTAAACACATAGACATTAAATATCATTTTATTGGGATATTATATCAAAAGAAATTCTGAAAATTGGTAAGGTTTCTACTCAATTTAACCATTTAGACATGGAAACTAAAATAATAAATTTAAACAAATTTCGTAATTGTTTGAAGTTATTATCTATTGATACTTTGTAATGCATAAACAAGTATACGGAGCAAATGAAGATTAAATTGCTGATGTTTGATCTTGACTGCACTTTTTGGTCCCAAATTTCTGATAGCAAGGTGGAGATTGTGGAGGCTTGAACCCTTGATCTGTGATGTGTTCCCAAAATTTGGTTAAATTTGCATTCTGCTAAAACATGTTTATATGAGTTGGAACGTTTTTATAAGATTGTGGCACGTGTCCATATCATGGCCCTTGATCTTTGGTATTATTGATGGAGATATATATATACATGCACAATACCATTTTTTAGGGCAGATTCATCTTCTGACTTTTGGGTTTTCAGAGAGAAAGTTTCATCCATTTTCTTCATGTGAAATTGAGATCAATGTACTTTAGCCTCTAAAATCTGTNTATATATATATATATATATACACGCATAGT